TGCAAGATGACGACATTATGGTGGTTGTGGATGCAATACTTAGAACAGAAAGATGTGAGAGTATTGAAGAGTTGTTAAACGGGTCCACTACCATGGAAGGTCTAATTAATGATTCAATTGAAAGTGATAGAAGCGTAGGGAAATAGAAAGTGCAATAGTATGCGTTCCTTCCTTGCTAAAGGAATTTAATTATGTAATATATTTATTCATGTCGCCTATCACCATTGTACTCCTAGCTAGGTAGCTGTCCTTATCTACTTAATTTCATGGTACGTAAGCCATGTAATGAAGTATCACTATCCATTGTTTTCAATCAATCTATTTCCTATCCCATTTTTGCTTAGTGCAGATTTAACTGTATTCCTGAGAAAAACTTTACGTGCTGAGTGCTGACAAATTCTGTTCCCTTTCCCGTTTTCTTTGGATGCATTAATAGTGGTGAGAATTTGATGACCGGTCTGATCTCATGATCCTATACAATCATGGTTCTACTTAATGTCTTAATCTTCATGTAACTGTTGCTAATTATTTTTCTTAATTTCTAAAATGAAAATATGTATTATATAAACATTTATTAGGACCAGAGAGACTGACTTAATAGTATTAGACTATCTATAGTTTCTTTTTCATCGATGTGATTATGAAGTCCCATTTTTTCTTCTTTAAATTTCTTTTATTTTTCAATTAAAATCTGTCAATTTTGTTCTCGAGTCGCAGTGTTTTTCATCTTCTTTTACTTTCTTCGTTATCTTTTTATTTTTATTTTTTATATATATATGATCAAAATGTTCAATTACAAATTACAACTTAGCTTTTATACATTTATCGTAAATGTAATATTCTGTTACTGTCAATATTAATTTTTAACCTGTTTATTATAACTTATTTCTTTTCTTAAACAAGTTACAGTGTTTTGTCTTTAAGGTACCTAATTCGTGGGAATAAACGTACAAGTTTGATTCAATTAAGTTATGTTATATTTCTACACAACTATATTTTTTTTTATTTTTCTACTAATCATTAGAAGAAATAGAGATTATATATATATATATATATATATATAACAAATTAAGGATCTACATACTTTAAGATTAAATTTTGATGAAATTATTCCACTCAAAAATTAAATTTTAACAATCTAACCATTAAATTTATAGTTTTTAATGCATAAATCAAGTTTACAAATTTTTAAAAAATTTAAAAATTAGTTGATACTTCATTAAATTAATTCAAGTTAATGAATATTAATAAAAATATTTTATACGTTAACTTGAATTAAGGAATCAAAGTATCAAATAATATCCAAGTTTTTAAAAATTTTGTAAATTTAATTTTTATATTAAAACCTTTTAATTTAACAGTTACATCGTTAAAATTTAATATAAAATAAGAATTATTAAATAGGATAAATCTACTAAAATTTACTCTTGAAATTAGTAGATATATATTGCATTAATGACAAAAGAGATATTAATTATATATTTTAAAATATATATATATATATATATATATATTACATTAATGAGAAAAGAAATATTAATTATATTTTCAAGGACTTTTATACAACACCCATAAACCATTTTTTTTTCTATAGGGACCAAATATACACTAATACAAAATTATATTTTACATTAATTATTAAATAATCAATTTAATAAAAATTGCGACAGCATAATTAAAATTTTAAACAACTTTCCTGCATCAGTTGAAAATAATCTGGAGTAGAATGTTCTCTTTCACATCGATTATATGTTTAACCCTATATAAAAAAAAAAACAAAAACAAAAAAAAAACATTTTATGTTGCCTCAATCTATGGCCAAAGTAAAAAGGTCTTTAAAAAACACATCCTCAAAACCTCATTTGACTCTCGTGTGCACTATTTCTTTTTTCCACAAACTCGATCTACAGCAAAACTTCTCTTTCAATGCCAAAATATACTCCAAGTATCTTGAAAAATACTCCAAACCCTAAACAATACTTCAAGCATCTCCAGCAAACTTTTTTTTTTTCTTCCGATTTTGTCATCATCTACGACCTCGAACGACATCTACCAATTACGTCATTTTCGATTTTGTATCATTTTTAGTTTCCTTTTTCCCTTATTTGTGCTCCTCATTTTGTTGAGATGTAAGCAAAATCTCACATCGTTCAAACAAGATGATAGACATGAGTTTATATACACATAATTATCTTCATTGGTTTAAAGGCCTTTTGTGTGATGTCTAAAAGTAAAACTATGAAAGCTGGGTCCAAAACGGAGAGACATGTGTATATGTGTGGTAACCCTCGGTATACACAACAAGTGGTATTAGAACCAATAGTTTGATCAAGTGACCGACTCGACAAGTATGATGGCTGGCAGATGGATCCAAGTTTGGGATTCCTTGTGTCAAAAGTCTTCCTAATGGTGGGTTCATGTGAAAGAGAGTCTTCATGGTAACATGGAGGGTTAGGAAGCGTGTTCCACTGTCATGAGGTCATGATGGAGCGGCGATGTACTTAGAGTGTGAACGTGAGTGAGCTCTATGGACCACCATCGAATAAATACTCGTAGATCAATATTTTCGCTGTAAGGGGTAAATCGTGGTCTAAGGAGAGGAATGTTGGGATGCAAGTAAAGTCCAATATCGTTCAAACAAAAGCATGGAAATGAGTTTATATATATACAATTATCTCTATATTGATTAAGAGACCTTTTGAGTGATGTCCAAAAGCAAAATCGTGAGGACTGGGCCCAAAGCGGACAATATCTCAACAATGTGGAGACATGTGTATGTGTGTGGTAACCCTCGGTGCACAACACATTTCTTAAAGCTTTCCTTGCCTTGTCCTCAATCATCATCCATTTGTTTTCCAAGTCTTGCACTCACCACTATTAATAAAGATGACAATAGGTACGGTCTTATAGTATCTATCCCTATATATATATATGTTTAAAAGTAATACTTATACCATGTTCTAAGTTGGCATGGGTAGTAATTTCAATTTCTACCCACATATCTACTGGCTATTGTTTAGTTAGATACTTATATTCACATTTGCAACCCACACTATATTTAGATACATGATTAATAATAATTGGAGAAAAAACATTTAACTCCCCCTAAACTTGACCTCTTTTTCAAATAAACAACACTAAAAACTTTAATATTATCTAAATTGATCCTTAAATTTTATCTTCATAGCAAATAGACAATGTGACACCCTCTACCCCATCATCAATTCACAATTAAATAATAAGAAAAATTTCTTTTTTTTTTCTTTTTGGGTAAATAAAATCTTTCATAGTTTAATAACATCTTTCATGTATAAAACAATTGTTTCAAATATTATAAGGTAGAAGATTCACATTCGTAACTCATCAATCATAAAAAGTCAACATATAAGTATTAAGATTCAAGAAATCATATAATAAAATAGTATAATAAAGATGTACATTTTGGTCTTTTCTCAAGAACGTTCAAAATTACATAAGAAGAGAAAATTAAAGCTTTTTAATATAATAACATCCAAAATAAACCTAGCTATGCCCGACGTCACATCCTATCAGAGCATGCCCCACTGAAGCCTTAAGCCTCATCACCAACATCCCCATGATGCTGATCATCTGCAACATAATTTAAAACATATACAAAAACAACAAGGGAGTGAGAAACATCTCACTCAGTTTCAG